GGAACCGGGGATTGACGGAATATATTTTTTATGAAATGTTTTCCATTTTTTGGTTCTTTTGTGATGTAAGTTGTCCTACCTTCATAATAGTTGGTGTTGGTTTTTTTTTTTTTTTTTACTGACTTGTAAGGTGATTGTTTAGAATTACAGATTGAATTATAAAAGCTTTTCACATTTAAAAAAAATGCCCTTTGATAATGACAGAGAACTGAGGAAAAACACCTGCGAAGTAACTGTCCCATAACAAGCAAGGTTCAAAGGTGAGTTTTCTTAGCCTGTCTTTTATTGTGGAATCACTTTCTAAAAAATACTTTTTTAATTAACAAAAAAGGGGCCAGAGAGATGGCTCAGTGGAATAAGTGCTTCCCTGGCAAGCCCAAGGGGCTGAGTTCAAACCCCAGTTCCACCAAAAAAAGAAAGCTAAAAAATTAACAAAAAAGACATTAAGCAAGCCTGATACAAAGTTATAATATACAAGATGGCCAGTCTCACTTTTTAATAATTTAAAATGAACAAAAATGACATCATTAAGTAAACTTGAAGCAAAGCTTTAAGATGCAAGATGACCTGTCACTTGCCAAGAAATGCAGCTACGAATTAAAGTGCCTGCAAGCAGGCACAGGGGCTGGGGGTTTGATCCCCAGGCCTGCCATGAAGCCCTGCTCCTGGAGAATCACTATGAGTCTGATCTAGTAGTGGGACCCTGAACACCCTGTAGACCCTTCCCCAAAAAAATTAAAAATAAAAAAAGAAACAAATGCAGCTAAAGGCAATAGAACTTGCTTAAAATAGTTCAAATAGCTCTCAAAAGGAGGAGATACTTGTGTGACTAATTCAAGTGACAGGATTATCACTCAGAGATCTCAAAAAATTACCAACTTACTTTCAAGAAAAGCTGATTCACTTCCTACAATACACAATTATGCCAAGGGAAAAAACTAATAGGTTAAACTGGAACTAAGGCATATTAAGGACTCAACTCAGTGGTAGAGCATTTGGAAGCATGCACAAGCAAGTCCTATGGTCAACCTCCAACCCAATCAACAAAGGGAAAAAAAAAAAAGGACAATTTACTGGTTAGCTGGGAAATCTTTTTATTTATTTATTTTTTTATGTATTTGGTACAGGGTCTCACTATGAAGATGGGACTCATAGTGATCCTCCTGTTTTCAGCCTCCCCAGTGCTGGGATTACAGGCGTGTGCCACTACACCCAGTCTCAAGAAACCTTAAAGTAAACATCAAGTGTAGAGGGCAAGGCAGATGGCTCAGTAGAATAAGCGCATCCCTGGCAAGCACAAGGGCCTGAGTTCAATCCTCAGTTCAGCAAAAAAAAAAAAAAAAATCAAGTATAAATCAAAGTTTGAGGTAAAGAGAAGTGATAGAAGTAAATGGAACCAATTCTCTGATAGTCCAAAATACGTTGTCTTGGTTACTATTCCCTTGTTGCAGGGACAAAATATGTGACACTCAAACTTAAGGAAGGAAAGATTTATGTAGCTCACAGTTTGAGGAGGTTTCAATCCATAATCAGCTGGTTCCAAGGCACAGTGGCACATGGCAAAGCACTGCAGTTCATGACGGTGGAAAACAGCAAAACAAGGGCCTGATAGATAGCTCAGCAGACTAAAGCGCCTGCTTAGGCAGAGCCCAGCGGCCAGGGTTTGATCCCCCGCCCCCAGGCACACAGAGAGTGACTGAGATTGTGCATGGTGGCACATGCCCCCAGCACTTGGGAGGCAGAAAACAGGCACATCACTACAAGTCTGATCTACCTAGTGAGATCCTGTAGACCCTGTACTAAATACAAAAAAACAAAACAAAAAAACCCAGCAAGAGCAAAAAGGGAGGAGCACCAGTAGAAAACAAGTCCTTTTCCCTCCCTTATATTGCATTCAGGCTGTCTGCCCCAGGGCAGATGCAGCACTCACACCTATAATTCCAGCACTGGATCATGAATTAATTACAAATTGTAGAAACCCGCCAAGACTGCAGGAAGCTTTGGGGGGGACATCTAGACACAAACCATAAAATATGTATATAAACAATCAGTACATGTCAGATGCCATGTTAGGCATTCAATATGTCAGCAACCATGAGAAGTTCCTAATTTTGTCAAGACTATAGCCTAATGCAGCCATCCAGTACAAGTATGACACAAGATACTAGGCATACTCGCATATACCTACAATTCTAGCACGTAAAGAAGCTGAGACAAGGGATGGGGAGATAGGTCAGTAGAATAAGTGCCTACCTGGCAAGCGCAGGGTCCT